GGTGACCCAATCAGCGAGTGAAGGAAACACATCCCCAGCCTCAAGGGCTCGTACGGCTGGTTGGCTCATCCATGAATTGCATATGTAAAGGCTCAGCAGTTTATAGGACTCCACGTGCAGAGCTTGTTTGCAGGGATAGCGGGGCATTTGATTGAAAGATCACCTGATCATGGAGTAGTATAGAGCTTGGGTCGTTTCAACTTTTTTGGAATGACTTTGGTCTCATCTTGCTGACTTCAGATGAGAATGAATTTGGACAGATCCCCAAACTTGCAACATGAAAGGTCCTGAACATACAAGCACAAGAATTAACAAATAGCTTGTCAATGAACAGGTCCAAAAGGACACTACTAGAAGTCTGCCGTCCCAAAAAAGAACCCACCCAGACACGGAGTTTTGTATACTAATTCAAAGGAAAGGGAGGACAGAGACGGGTGGAGAAATGCAATCTATATATGTTGCTTCTCATTCACTAATGACACGATTGAAAACCTACCACAAAAGAACAAAAACCATTTTTCCCCAAAAGATGGAACAAACACAAAAAGCAAGAAAATAGACGTCAGCCTTCACTTTTTAAACAGAGACTGAACCGACCTCCATGGGATTGAGAGCCGGGCGTTTTTAGCGCTTTGGTATCTTTGGAGAGCCGGAGCCGGTCGGACATCGCCTTCAGGTTCTTTCCTGCGAAAAAGCCTCCAGTCGTTTGGTCAAGGGGCATCCTTCAACAAGAATCATTCAAAATCCCCCGTGTCCTGCTCCAGCGGACTGAGGCCTCCTTCGAAGGCACTCCGGCGCATCGCCTCCGCAGCGGAGCGAGGCGAGCGGCAAGGCCCTCAGGGCTCGCAGACCGTGGAGCGGAGCGTGCCAGGGGCAGTGAGCCCAAGCAGTGTCTTGACTGAGGGATGCGGTGGGTGGGAACATGTCAGCCTGCCAGGGATTGCCCAGAAGGGCTGCTGGGAAAAGTTTGCCACAAGTCCGGTAAAAGCAGAATGAACATGCAGAAGTAGAAGGGGGATAGGTGTCGTTTCTTGTTTGGAACAGGGCAAGCTACGACATGTCACAGCACGGTTCATGTGGAGGGGGATCTTGGCATATGGTCTCGTTTCCATGGAGCAGACGAGGTTCGATGGGGTGGCTTCGCTAATATTTCATCAAATTTCTTCCAGGAGGTCTGGCGGAAGAGGCCTTGTAGCTCGTCCTGGCTGCTGGCGTCCTTGAAAAACAATGAAAAACCAAGATCAGCAGTTTTCCATCAGACTCTTGACAGATCCTGGGTACTTTCTTGCACTTGCTACCAACCTACCGCGACCGAAAGCACGGACGGCCTTTTTCCGGGACGACGGATGGGCCTGCGCTGTCTTCGCTTTCGTCGCTTGAGCGCTGCCCTAGGCCCGAAGAGCACGCAGGAGCTCTCGCTGGAGGTCACCCCGGTCGATTCCGAGGCCAAGTCTTCAGCGGAGAGAGGAGGTCTTTGCTTCGGTGGGACAAGAGGGGGAAAACGACAGGAATTCTGGACATCAAGCAGGCTGGATGGCAAGCCAGCCCCTTGCAAGAACATGCTCTCAAACAAAGATGTATGCATACGATTTATATGACTATGGAAATAAAAATACACGTATATGTGTTATACATAACATATGCACAATGATGTATATATGAGCAAATGATTGAAACCCAATGATAATATGCGGTTTCGTGACCCACAGGGCCACAGGTAGTTACAACACCAGAATTCCTCAAGTCTTTTTGAAGCCACCCAGTTTGTTCTGAAGCCTATGAGCGGGTACAGACGCCTGTCTTGCCTTCGCTTTCGGTCTTTGGGCTTTCGGTCTTTTGCACCACCGGCTATAGTGGTCCCCAAATAGATCCCCATGTAGAACATGTCTTGGAAACCGTGCCATTTTCCTTTTTGGGGATCACCAGCTACAGAAGAACTTTGTGCACCACTGTGAGCTTCGAGGTGATCGCGCCCCGCTCCTCGACCGAGCCGGTCGAGCCGGTGGGAGTGGTCAGCGCGCCTCCCGAGCTCGGAGCCGAACGGCTGGTGCGAAGGGTGAGCCGCCAGAACTTGCAGGCGACGCAGGATGGAGGTGTTTGGATGGAGAGAATCCAATGGAGAATCCGAGAGAGGTGGGTTTTTGGAAGTCAAAGGAGGTCTTCTGGCAGGTGGATCCCAGGATTTTGTGAAGTCACGCAGGATTTTGATACGTTTTGTATCGTTTTGTTAAAGATTTTGAAAAACAGCAGAGAAACCTAATTCGTAGAATAGAAATAAGATAAATACGAAGAAAAAACACACCCACACATATAGTCACACACGCAATATATATATATATACACATACTTTACAGTGAAAGAACTGCCTTTTGGCTAGCGGTCCTATGTGGGACCACCTGATGCCCCCCACGTGGTTCTCCCTGGCAGATTGCTCACCTCAAAGATGTGCACCACGTCACGTCCTGCACACGAAAAACGATTTGTGACGTCTTCCCACAGCCATTCTTGCCAAACACATCTTAACGTAGAACATGACACCTGAAAATAGAGGCCCTAGAACACAGCCATCTCCAAGACACAGGCTTGTAATTAGCCTGCGGTTGGTCTTCGGCAAAGGGACCTCTTTAGCACGGGATCTGTGCCGCACACTCGTGCAGGTGCCTGGCTCTGCCTTGAAGGGTGAGGATGCCGCAGCGCGGAGGCGCCACGTAGGGAACCATGACAAGCTCCATCAGCCCGACTCTCTTGAAGCCTTCACATCCAGGTCATTCCAGGTCATTGATTTAGATTGTCAAGCTGCCTCCCATGACAGCAAGATGTCGAGATGCCACGGCTCTCACAACGGCGAAGTCTGTAAGGACTCAGCCGCTCCGCACCCCAGGCAGCGGCTACAGTCCACGCCCGTCCGCTCAACAACCATCCATGCCCCGGGTGATGCTGATTGGCTATAAGTGGAAGGGCCTATGGCAGTCGCAGGGGTCAACGGTCAACGTCGCAAGAGATATTGAAAATTAATGTAATAGTTTGGGCATGGGACACTCAACAAAAGGTGCAGATGTTTGCTGTTCCAATCTCCCCATGGCCTTTTGAACAAGAGTTTCCCCAAACAGTTTGCTGTTGGGGTTCTCCCTTAGGAAAAGAGAAGCCGGCCACAGTCTTTGGGCGTGCGTGAACGCTGTGTCCGGGCGTTGTCCTCCTGACGTCCTCTTCTTGTCCTTCTTCTGGTGTGCATCTTGGCCGGCTGCCAGCCGGTCTCCAGACGTTGTCCTTGTCCTCCTCTTGTCCTCTTGTTCTCCTTCTGCCGGTGTCTGCTGGTGTCCAGCTGGGCCGCGGGTGAACCCTATGTCCGCCTGTTGTCTTCTTGTTGTTGTCCTCTTCTTGTCCACCTGTTGTCCTCGGTTGTCCTCCTTTTGTCCCCTTGTTGTCCTTCTGCTGGTGTCCCAATGACAGCATGGCAGCATGTAGACATGACACCATGACAGTGTGCGTGCGCAAAGCACCATCCCCCAAGAGCAATCAAAGGGCCCAATGCGAGAAAGCAATTGCACACGTGCACGCCTTGTATGGCAGCTGGTGGGAAAGCGCCAGCCGGGAAAGCACGAAGACCACAGTACTGCAGCATGGCCGCGGCAGCCTGTCAGCATATAAACATGACAACATGCGAGCGTCCACTACAAAGCAGTGAGGCACCCGCAAGACATCTCCAGAAAGCAACCCCAGAAGCCGATGTCCTCTCGTCCTCCTCTTGTCCTCCTCTTGCGGGGTTCAGATGGAGGAATACAGAAGGTGGCTACAGTGTCAGGCCGCGCCGTCCGGATGTCCTCTTCTTCTCTCGTCACAATCTTCTCAGTCCTGTCCTCCTCCTCTGCTACTATTGTTACTATTGCCTTCTTGTTGTCCTTCTTCAGGTGTTTGGCCGCGGCTGCCAGCCTATCTCCGGTCGTGCCTTGTCTTTCTCTTGTCCTCTCTTCCTCTTCTCCGTTTGTTCTCCTCTTGGTCTGTTGTCTTTTTGGCGTTGTCCGGTCACAGCTTGCCCTCCTTTCGTCCTCTTGGTGTGTTCGTCTTGCTTTCCTATGCTGGCCCCATCTTATTCTGGCAATCGTATCCTCGCATGACTTGGACTTTGGCCGTTGGAGACTGGCGGGGGTTTCCAAACAAGTTTGCTTTTAATAACTTAAGTAATTTAAATACTTATCATTTTCTCCCCTGAGTGCCATGGGTGTCACAGACTTCAAAAACTACCAAAGAGACCAGATCCATTGCCTCCGGCGGTGTTGCAGTAGTGCTTCGCCTCTTCAAATGGCGGCCCGGAAAGGCTGTACCCAACTCCAGTGCCGTTGGTTCAGGTCTTAAACATCACGACCCGTTCACCCGCAGCCGTTGCTACCCAGGACAGTTCCTCCTCAGCACCCTTGCGGCCTTTGCTATTGCCCCGGTCCTTCACCACGGAGCGGCTCCCGTGGCGGTCAGCGCGGGTTGGAAGGGATCTGGGCATGGACACCATGTTCAGCTATGTTGAAAGTGTGGCCGGGGCCTGAAAAAGCGTGGCTGGCCTCCCCTGAAAAGCGATCACCTTGTTGAATCGTTGCCCTCTTCATTAGAACAGACGGTTCGGAAGACCCATTCGATGGGTTTTGTTCCAGCGGGTGTGTGAAGGGTTGGATGTCAAAATGGTCAACTAGATTTGGGCAGGATATGGAGGACAACAATATTGAATTGCTATAGATCTTGAGGGCTCGCATTGCCCCACAATCGATGCAGTGATGCAACAGTCAAGGAGGACTTGCAGCACGGACCGGAGAAACACAGTCAGCCCTCAAGTCTGAACACCGCTGAACTTGATCATTGTTTACTTGTAGACTCCTGCAGTTTAGACTATGACGGAAACATTATGAAATGCATATATACGCGAATGATCGCAGCTGGATCCGCCTATCCGTCAGGAGCCGGCACGCTCCAGCACCCTGGACTTCGAGTGGGACACCGAGAGCCGGGTGAGCCACCGGGGGAGCGCGGGGCGCAGGTGGCGGGAGAGCCAGTGGGACATGGATGGCAGCCACGCGAGGTCGATCGATTGTGTTCCCAATGCTTCTTGATCAGTTCTTGAGAGGTATTTGTGGGTGATCAGTCGGCCTGCAGATGGCGATCGGATCGATTGGGCACGGTAAGAGTAAGGTGTAGTGTGTTTGGTCATTTTCTTGTGAAATGAGGGCAGGGTAGCCCCACTTGCTTTGAGAGGCCCACCGGGTACCAAACGATTGACGTCTCCAACGGCCCATTTCAACACAGCAGAAGCGTCAGCAACTGACTATGCTCGCCTCCATTGGTGCCAAAACCCTTTGTTCATCACCTTGAGATGAGAGGAGTCACCAAGGAAATGCCCAGCAGCTTGAAAACGGACCAAGGCCAATGGGCTGATGAGTCATCTCAATTGATCCCCAAGGTTTGGCACCTCTCTGGGTGAGCCGTGTCACGAGTCGGTGCATGGCCGTAGCAGGAGCAACTGCGGCATCACATGGCGCATCAGTTGCAGCAGATCCATCAACTTCAGCTGCTAGGTTTGGCACACCAGTGCTAGGGCATCAAATACACCAAGATGCAAAATGCGGTCAGATAAGAATGAAGAGACTCCCAGTATCTTCCAGTGACCAGTGGTTAAACTCTAAAGGCATGGGATGTTAAAGGCATGGGCCGTCCACCAGTAGGGTATGAAGCTGTTGATTCCGACTCTGGATGCCCTTTCCGCCAACCTTTGCGTTCTTTGGGGAGCGGCAAGGCTTGCGCCACAGTGGGGTTCTTTGGGTTGGAGGCCAACTCGAACGTAGTCAGTGGGTCAACAGGTGGCTTTCGAAAATACATAAATTGTTAATACATATATATATATATATATGATCAAAGGAAGTTTAGTGTACGAAGCTTCCGTGTTACGGACATTCAAGAACTGTTCACACACCACTCATCATACACCACTCTGTTCATACACCACTCTGTTCATACACCACTCTGTTCATACACCACTTATCATACACCACTCATCATACACCACTCATCAATACACTACTCATCATACACCACTCATCATACACCGCTCATCAGACACCACTCATCAGACACCACTCATCATACACCACTCATCACACACCACTCATCATCCAGTCAGCTCTAGTTTCAAGAGCTCTAGCTCCAGTTAGCATCATGTGCAGATTTCGTGGCAGGCGGAGCACTTTGTGAGCGTCCATGTGCAGATTTCGTGGCAGGCACAGCACTTTGTGAACCTCCATGTGCAGAGTTCGTGGCAGGCACGGCACTTTGTGAAGCTTGAGTGCAGAGCGAAATACAAAATACGTTTTCGAGAGATAGCGGACGCACGAAATGCTGTGTCTTTCAATAGAAAGGGTGGCTCCGAAGCTGGCCAGCTGTGCCTGCCACGAAATCTGCACCTCGAGGTTCACAAGGTGCTGTGCCTGCCACGAAATCTCCGCATGGAGGTTCACAAAGTGCTGCACCTGCAACGAAATCTGCACATGGAGGTTCACAAAGTGCTGCGCCTGTCACGAAATCTGCACATGGAGGTTCACAAAGTGCTGTGCCTGCCACGAAATCTGCACATGGAGGTTCACAAAGTGCTGTGCCTGCCAGGAAATCTGCGCCTCGAGGTTCACACAGTGCTGTGCCTGCCACGAAATCTGCACATGGAGGCTCACAAAGTGCTGTGCCTGCCACGAAATCTGCACATGGAGGTTCACAA